GTTAATAGGTCATTTGGATTTAATTAAACCTTTTTTTTAAAAAAACATTTTCGAAGTTCTTGCTTCTAATTGGTATTCTATACTGCAGGGGTTCTGAGCTGGGGACAACTTTGACATTTTCAGTTGTCACAGAAGGAGGTAGATGGAGGCTACTGGCATCTATGGGCACAGGCCAGGAATGCTAGTCCGTATGCGGAAGTGCACAGGACGCCCCCACAACAAAGACTCACCCAGCCCCAAATGGCAGTAATGTCAAGGCTGAGAAACCCTGCTCTACTGGAAAAAGAAAGAGAAACCATCCTGACCTCTCGTAGTTTAGGCCACAGTTCACCATGTCCACATCCCATATTACAGATACCAAATAAACCACCATGTTATCGATTGAAGAGAGGTAGACAACTTCTCTTTAATCAACAGCAAGTCAACCCCTCATCACAATGGCGTTCTTTCCAGCCCCACTGGCTGATCATCCATTCACCCAACAACGTCTACTGAGCACCAGCTACGTGCCAGGAAATGACCTGCACAGTGGGAATACCAGGAGAAACAAGATCCTGTCCCCGCACGTGAGCTGCTGGTGGTCTCACAGGGAGACAGACAAGGAAACCTACAACCATCACATGAGGTGAGAATGCACTGAGAGATCAGTGCAGGATGCTAAGAAATCAGAGGAGGGGCTACAAACTCAGCTGAGGCTGGGGACTGAGAAGGCTTCCCAGAAGCACTTGAATTTGAAGGAATTAAATAGGCAGAGAGAATCCTTCCCTTCCCAAAGGACCCCTCACCAGACCTTTCAGAATATGCTCTCTGAGAATCCACAGACTGACAACTTTAATTAGAAAGCTTGGTGGAACTTCTGACAAAAGCAGGGAGGGTGCACAGAAGTCCTTGATCCTCTACGTACAACCTGGATAATTCCCATCTCAAGAGGGACAGACACCACCTAAATGACCATCAACAGATGACTGGAAAAAGAAGCTGTGGTATATTCATACAATGGAATACTACTCAGTCATAAAAAATAGTGCCAATTGCAGTAACATGGATGGACTTGGAGATCATCATTCTATGTGAACTAAGCTAGAAAGAGAAAGAAAAATACCATATGCTATCACTCACATATGGAAACTAAAAGAAAGGAAAAAAGACACTAATGAACTTATCTACAAAACAGAAACAGACACACAGACACAGTAAACAAACTTATGGTTACCAAGGGGAAAGGGGGTGGGAAGGGATAAACTGGGAGTTTGAAATGTGCTGATATTAACTACTAAATATAAAATAGATAAACAAGTTTCTTCTGTAGAGCACAGGGAACTATATTGATTGTCTTACAGTAACCTAATAATGAAAAAGAATATGAAAACAAATATATGTATGTATATGTTTGACTGAAACATTATGCTGTACACCAGAAACTGACACACTGTAAACTGACTATACTTCAATTTAAAAAAAAAGGAGGGACAGACAGCAACCTGGCTTCTCCATCAGTTTAGGCCTTCTTCCATTATAGTCCTAACTGGCCTCTCGGCCTTCAAACCATCACACACCTTGCAGCAGGAGGCAACTAACACGTACACAGCAGACCCTGTGAACCACGTGCTTGATCTCACATAATTCTCAAAACAATTCTCTGAAATATATTGTTATCCCTGTTTTACAGATGAGGAAACCGAGGTGCAGCAATGAAGTGTAACTGGCCTTCAGAACAAAGAGCCACAAACCATTCACGCCCAACTCCAGAGTCCCTGCTGCATCTATCTGAGGGGACCTTTACAGTTATCAACCCAAAACATCATGTGCTCTATATCTTCACCGCCTTGGTTGAGCCTTCCCATGTCAGGCATCCTCCTTCTGTGCACCACTTCTGAAATGATCTCTGTGGTGTTTCCTCTGTTGTACTGTGATTACCCATATGGCTAAGAGCTCCTTGCTCCCAGGAGCCAGTCTCACTCATCTCCAAAGCCCTAGCCCCCAGCATAGTGTCTGAAACACTGGGCACAGAAAACACTGAATGCATAAACAAGCCTGGACTCCTTGGTACCAAGCAACAGGAACTGCTCAAAGCTGGAGTAGCCTGCCTTGGGAAGCCAGAGGCCTGGGGAGCACCCTTCACCCTCTTTCACCAAAGCAATGGACTTTCCCTCAGGGTGGGCCCAACCCTCAATGTCAGCAACCCAGTCACACTGGCGACACAGCAAGTTCTCTTAGCCAGCTTTCCCTGCAAGATTGGAACAGTCGTGATTCCTTCTTTGGTTCTACATCAGATGCTTATATTTGGGGAAATGTTGTATAAAAATATGTATCTTTAAACATTAGAACCTTAAAAGGAATGAGCTTGTGCTCCCCACTCTGTCTTTCCCTTTCTGCCAGATGGAGTGCATATGCAATGGTAGGAGCCTGAGCAGCCAGCTTAGTCCATGAGATGGAAGCCTGGGTTTGAGCAAGGAGAGCCACAGGATCAATGGAACCCTGTTCCTGGATGACTTCATGAACAGAGCTGCCCTACCAGCTCTGGACTGCCTACTTCCAGACTGTTAAGGGGCAAGGAATAAACTTCTATTTCCTTTCAGCCACTGTATTTTGGGATTACTCTGTCGGAGCATTTTAGGTTGCACTTAAAAGAAGGTGTGAGCACTGCCCAGTGATTAACCTAGCCTGATCTTTGTTGGTAAAACGACAATAGTATTGTCAACAATTTCCCAACCAAAATAACTACAATTTTGTCATTACTATATAATTGTAAAGAAAAAGCTATCTTGAGAAGGTGATTTGAATCACGTTGAGTCCAGAGAAGAAGGACAAACAAACTGACCTGGTTTGTTTCATCTTTGAGCATTACAGACATACCTCAGATTTCCAAGTAGCCCAGGCTACTCTTTTCTGACAGTTTGTCTGCGTAAACTCCAGCTTGGCTCTCCTCCTCCAGCTCGTTACCTGAATCAAAGACCAAGTGGAAAATTCAATGAGAACCCATAGGGTGCCTGCTCCCTAAGAGCTGCCCTGTCATTCATCCATCAAACACAGGCAAAGGCAGAGCCCTGAGCACAGAGCCTGGTACAAAGTAAGTCCTCAGTAAAGGTTAAATTGGACCATTACTGCTGCATGCCAGACACTGTGCTGGACCCTGGAACACAAAGATGAATAAACCCAGTCCCACTCCCTACACTTAGGAATGCCTGCTGACCGAAAGACACAACAGAAGGTTGATAAGCACAAGCAATGAAGCTATGCCTGAGTATTATTACAGCACTGACATTCTTCTAGGATGTCCTGGACAGCATGCTTCTCATTCCAGACCCTTGCCCTAGGTGACACATGCCCTCCCACAACTTTAGTGACCTCTGATGGGTGACAATTGCTAGATCACTGCTGGCAGCTCCACTTGAATGTTTTACAGGCACCTACTTTGATCATATTCAAAACTAAATTTATCTTCCCTCCTCAAACCTGCTCACCATCCTGTTCCCTAGTCCACTGGGCAGCATTACCACCCACCAGTCAAAAACTTGGGAGTCAACCCTGAGCCCTCCCTGCCTCTAACTCCCTCATCTAAGTAATCACCAGCTTTGGTCAATTCTACCTCCAAAACATCTCTCCCCATCCTCTGCCTCTAATCTAACTCAAGGCCACTCTCATTTCTCACCTGGATAGTTCTACTAGCCTCTAAAGTGGCCTCCAGGCCCACTCCCTTTAATATATTTTTCACATAGCTAGAGTGATCTTTTTAATCCACCAATCTGATTCTTAAATGCCGTCCTATTAACTTAAAATTTAAAATCCACAGCTAGGTTTAAAAGACCCCCTAGGACCAGACCACAGACTGCTTCTTTAGTCTTACCTCTCATCTGTCTCCATGTAGAGAACTTAATTTAATATTAAACTGGCTCCCTAGCTTTCCCACAAACTCTATCTCCAACTGAGAATACTCTCCCCTTTTCCAGCCTCCACTCCCCAAGCATCCTCAGATCTCAGCTTCCTAGGGGGAAGAAGCCTTCAAAGATTCACCTAGACTGGGTGAGGTGCCTCTACTCAGTGTTTCAGAGCAAGAACTTTTCTGCTTTTCTTCCATCATATCAGAATTGCCTCCATCTCTGTATGTCTCCCATATGAGTCTCTGAGCTCTGGAGGTTGATGATGATACGAAAAATAACAGCAACAAATACATAACAGCATTTACTTTGTGCCAGGAAGCGTTCTCAGGACTTTACACCTACTACCTCATTTAATCTTTGTAACAATCTTAAGAGGCAGATTTTATTCTCATCTTGGTTTAAGGATAAGGAAACTGAGGCAGAAAGCGAGAAACTAACTTGCCGAAGGACACAGCTCGCAAGCACAAAGTCGGGATTTAAACCCCGACTGCCAGGCTCCACAGTTTACACTTTTAACCACTTAAGCTACCGGATCACTCGCTGTATCCTCAGAACCTATCAGATTCTGAACTGTGGAACGAATGAATGAATGAAATAATACACCGGGACAGAGTCGGCCTCCTATTCGGCCAGCATCTCCTAGGCCTTGGGAGACTGTGCCCTCTAGCCCCGCCGGCCAAAGTGAGCTGC